CTAGAAATACTAGAAATCGGGTTCGTCAATTTCATTAGTTTGATTCAGAATGGCAACAGGGCGGGGAGGGGATGAGGAGCCTCTCCCCATCCCCGTCCCCATCCCCATTTCCATGGGGATCCCCATCCCCGCAATGATGAAGAACATGGAGATAGCTATCGACTGTTTTTTCTTCTTCTTCTTTTCAGCTTTAACTAGCCGCCTTTTTCTCAATGTCTCACACTCCCCTCTCATAATAATGTATATATAGAGTGGACTTTAGACTAATCCTAATCTAATGGTCAAAATAAAATGTTACATTATATTTTACATCTTACCAATTTGACCTGCTCAAACTGGACTGTTAAACCCATACCCAAAAATCTAAAGCCAAAGCGGTTCTGTTTCTGGGTCTGTTTTTAAAACCTTGATTTTAGTCAAAAGAAAGTTCCACAATCTTATTCATATTTTTAACAATAGTATAAATATAAAATTATAGATGTGTTCAATTTTTTCTATATTTTTTTATATTTTTGTGTGTAAAATTAATTTTGATATGTTACATTTACTTTTTGTTTAATATGATAAATACATGATATTAAGCATGTGCCTAGATGCTTTTCTTTTGCAAATTTATGTATTTTTTCATTTTTGTATTTTTATATTTTATTATTTTTCATTATTTATTTATGACATTAAAGGTTAATACATTTGACCGAAAAGTTAAACTTTTTATTATTAATTTTTATATTTTATTTTCGATCAATTCTAAATTATGTACTTCATTTTCATTATGAATAAAAATCATTTTTGTTTATTACACTTATTTTTCTAATTTGATTAATAAAAATATCATAAACATGTCTAATTTTTTCTACTTTTTTTGTAAATTTCTATATTTATTTCTATTTTTAAAAATTTTATTACCCAACTATGACTTCATAGGTTGATCAATTTGATTTGGATGGTTGAATTGTTTAGCCACCACTTGGACAAAGAATGGTTTTGCTTATGAGTCAATTTTAAAATATATGAGTTTATATTGTTCAAAATATTGACATAAATCTAATTAGTGCATTTATTAGTGAAAAATAACTTAATAATATAAGATTTAATAAGAGAAAATGGGTTTTAATACCTTAAGTACAAGACTTAATTAGAGAGGATTAAATGAGGTGGAAAATAATAATTGAAGTTACATTTTCAACCCTTACATTTAGAGATGGATTAAATACACAAATATGGCCACTATAGTAGCCATTAAAGGTAGAATTTAAACTATAATAAATGACTTTTATACCCTTTCTCAAACAAAGAAACAGAGGATAATTTTAGTCCAAAAAAAATTCACACAACATTTACACTTTTATATATGGTACTAGTAAGCGTGTACGTGCTTTACATGTGGAAATTCTAGATGATGATAATGATAGGAATAATGTATCCAAATTTTTTTATAAAATTCATATATTTTTTATTTTTTTGTTTTTCACTATTAATCAAATGCAAATTGCAAAAACTGGATTTGATTATGTAAGCACGTCATATTAGGCTACAAAGTTTTGGGTATCGTCGGCAGGCCTACCTATTTGGTTTGACTCTTCTTTTTGTAATGTTTTATCTTCTTAGTGTATACTTTTTTTGCTTATTTATCAAAAAAAAAATGTAAGATTTAAAGAAGGGGAATTGAATGAGGTGAAAATTATAGTTCAAACTACATTTTAAACCTCACAATTAAATAGGATTAAATTCAAAAAATGGGTATTTTAGTCAAAAAAAGTTTTGCAATTCTATTCATATTTTTAATAATAATGTAAATATAGAGTTATAGATGTGTTCAATTTTTTCTATAATTTTTTTTATTTCCATGTGTGAAAAAATAATATTGTTATTTACACTTTTTTTTTGTTTAATATGTTAAATATATGATATTATACATGTGCCCAAATGTTTTTTGTAAAATTTATGTATTTTTGTTTCGTTTGTTTTTTATATTTTGTTATTTTGTATTATTTAATCATGACATTCAAGATTAATAGCTTTGACCCAAAAGTTGAACTATTGGTCTCTTCTAAATAGGAAAATAATTTCATTTTTTGTTAGTTTTAGATTGTGTTTCATTTTCATCATCAATAAAAATAATTCTTATTTATCTCACTTGCTTTTTTAATTTGATTAATAAAAATATCATAAATGTGTATTTTTCTATTTTTTGTAAATTTATATGTTTATCTCTATTTAAAATTTTATTATCTAACTATGACTTCATCAGTTAGACAATTTGATTCGGATGGTTGAATTGCTTAATCATCACTTGGATAAAGAATGATTTTGTTTTTTGAGTAAGTTTTAAAATACCATAAATACAAGAGTTATCTAATTAGCAACATTTATTAGTGAAAAATTAACTTAAATGTGGGATTTAATAAGAGAGAATGGGAGTTAATACCATAAATACAAGAGTTACTAAGAGGGAATTAAATGAGGTGAAAAGTATTAATTGAAATAATATTTTCAACCTTCATAATTAGAGATGGACTAAATAACAAATGAGGGTATTTTTGTCAAGAAAAAATCCACTGGGAGGAGTTATCAAGAACCATATATAACCCAGGGTTATTTAAAATAATTGATACTCTCTTTGGTTTGTTCAGCACTGGGAGGAGTTATTACAATATTATTGTGGTTGCTCTTTGCATTTTAGAAGGAATCATGATTCCAAATTTCCAATAATTCAATGAGCACATTCTAACTGCAAGGTTCCAACTGGCTAGTTGGTAAGTTCTCCAACTGGTTGTAATAGGAGTCTAGATTTTCTCCACAAAGAGGGCTTCTCACAACACTTGCAATCACACATCAAGAACAACTCATGTACTTGTATGTTATTACTCATGGGGTGATGTTCCCAATGCATGGTCACAACATGCTATGAGGTTGGTGGGAGCAAATCCAAATTCTTGTAACGGAGACTTAGGATCTAAAACCATAGGGTGGATTATTCAAGTTCAGATCATGAAAAGCTTAATTTGGCTCGATCTAAGTCGAACTTCAAGCTGAACTCGAGCCCAATATATAGGCTCATTTGCTTATTAAGCTGATCTCAAACTCAATATATAAGCTCATTTGCTAATTGGGCCGACCTCAAGACTAATATATAGGTGAGGCTTGTCAACCTAATTGAGCTATGGCACATGGGCGGTTATAGGACATTTATTTTCTGTAATTCCTAAACTATTATACAAGGAAAATGGACCTTAAGAAAGTAAGCTGTGATGAATTCAGCCTATTTCCAAAAAATGAAATGTATCAAAACTCAGAAGTTCTGTTCAACCCCAATTAATAGGAAAATAGAACCAGAGATCTAAGTGGTTGCATGATTCATGTGGAAAATAGAACCATGCAAATCAACCTTTTCCTTCCCCTCCTGGTCAATTAATTCAATATTTATTGTATGACATGGGGAGAAAGTTCATGTTGGAGACTATCTACTTCTTATGCATCTGTAGACACATGTTGGAGACTAGCTACATTGATATTTGATAGAAGAGGATCCAATTGAACCTCCTTTGTATATGATGACCTCTCCAAAGTGGTTTTCTCGCTATGCATCTGTAGACACATATTGGTTTTTTTTTTTTTTTTATGCGTCGAAATTTATCTTGTTAGCCAAAATAAGAAATTTATCCTGATTTCCCCTACTCTTGGTAGGCTCTATTTGATCCAATTCATTTTCTTTTCTTCTCTCAATTGGGCCCAGGGCTAGCTGGGTTAACTTTGGCTGTTGGAGGCCAACAGCCTTTCCTGTTGAAAGAGTTTCTGGGTTGGGCACATTCACGGCAGTTCACCAATTCACGAGCATACCTTTGTTTTTATTCAAAACAAATCTAAAGGTAATTGATAATTTGCCCACTTTCATACATGCCTAACCCAGAAACTCTCTCAACAGGAAAGGCCGTTGGCCCCCAAGAGCCAAAGTTTTTCCAGGCTAGCTGAGCTTGTATGAATCCGTTGCAATGTAAGGCTGTATTAGCTATTTTCAGTCCAAATTTCTTTCCTTGAAAATTTTCTCTTTTATTTCCCATGCTCTGATCTGCCTCACTTTTGGTCCGTTCAATCCGTCCAAATTGATTTTGGACTGGACAGGGTCCAATCCAAGACCAGTCCATTGACACCCTTACTTTTGAGGATTTCATCACACCATTCTTTAAGGTTGCGGGGGTTTAATCTTGTTGGGGTGGGTGTGTTTGTGTTGTTCTCAACTAGCCTCCAGGTTAGAGAGGCAAATGGGCAGTTAACTAGGATGTGTGCTACATCCTCACTTTTTCCATACGACTCACAATTTGGATGTTTTAATTCTTCAACTATTTCCCAACATATTTTAAGTGTATCCTGTCATACTGATAATTCATACCTGATACCTCTATCTCACAAAAACAATTATAATATTTTTTTTTACGCGTGTTTATACCATATTTATACCAGGTTGGGCTGGACCAGCCCGAATCAAGAAAAAATGCTAACTCGGGCCAACCCTAATTGCACTCCTGATGATTATGATTATGTGTCATTAATATATTTTTGAAATTTATTACAGCATGCCTAACATGTTTATTTCATCTCCATATGTCATTTAAAATTACCTTTCCAATATTTACCTTGACTATGTACGAGGTAGCATGCAGGATGAGATGGAATAGAAACAAAGAATGATTGATACACCTGTATGGCTGAGGTGTATCAGACATCAGTACTTAAAACCATGCACTTTCTTATTTTTTTAAAGTTTTTTTAATCTATATTAGACCTCTAATATGCCCGATCATATCGTATCTATACTTTGAAGTTTGAACCTTGCTAGCCCCTCATCATTGATCATGAAGACAGAAGGGCATGGTGGATAAAAAGAGGAAATCGTTTTCATCAATGCTCATTAATCAATAGTAATAATTAATAAGCATATAAAGAAAGAGACGAGCCAGACGAGAGCCACTAGCAAGAAAGAATTGACCTATTGTCCAGACTAGAAAATAGAAATTGGAGAATTGCCATTGCATCATAATCTGTTATGGATCAAATCAAACCTGCATGATAATATTACTCCAAACCTAAAAGATTTACCAACATTCTCGACGGTCTACAGTGATGGGAAGATAATCAGAAAAGGCATCAATACATGCCATTTACATAAATCGGATTCAATGCTCCAGGTGGAAGACATATTCTGTCAGGCGCTGTAATTTACTGGGATCCAACTTCTGCTCTGTCACAATCGGCTGCTTCTTCACGATCAACATTTGAGAACTGGAATCCAAAGTCCAACCCTGTTGGAGTGCATCTGTGCATGTGACAAACATCAAATGCGGTCTCAGTAACCCCATTTTGAATATAGATAAACCATGACTTGGAAAGAAATTAACAACCATCCAGTCTTAGTGTGTCCTACCTATGACCAGAAACCAGAATCATGGGGTAATTCTAATACTATGTCAATCGCATTCACAATTGACAGGATCAGTTTTTCTAAAACATCTTCAAAATGAGACCTATGTCAATCGCATAGCTCATTGCATGCACCCCCTGGAAAAAGAAAAATGAAAAATGCATGTAGAGACCCGTGTTCTATTGCAACTAGGAAGTAGCAATTTATCCCCTTCCCCTACATAATAAACAATTTCACCATGGAAGTAGCAGTTCCCCATGCATTTTCCACATGGAAAATGTATAAATGGAACAGGCCACCGTATTGGTGTCAGTTCATCCAATAGTTGTAGATGGTGGGTCATAGTGTCATACTACTAAAACCTTTGCAATAGGCGCCACAGTTGTCAAGGCAATGCCTAGGCAACAAGGCACTCTTGGAGGCTCACCTCACAGCCCTCGCATAATCACCAAGCAGTTTTGTACATTGTGTTATAAAATACTTTTATATTCTTAATTTTTTGAGGTTATAATTATAAAATGGACATTATTAAATTAACTCATTTTGTGTGTTTATAATTTTATATACTAATTTCTTTTTATTATTTTCTTATTTGTTAAGGTTTAATCAACACAGACTGTATTGAACCCTCAAAGTCTTCAAAACCTGAACCAACAAGGAAGAACTTAAAATTTTATCTAATCAATGCATTTTCTTCTTCCACATCTTCATCTTCTTCTACCACCTTTTCTTTTCTTCTTTTCCTATAACAAAAATAGGGTTTCAGCTCCTATATTTTTTTGAATTATCTTTTCTTTCTTCTTTTTCTTCTCATGAATATGTTGATTTTCTATACTTTAACATGAAGTTTATACTTTTCTTATAAAAAATAGGGATAACTATTAAGGAAATATGGTTATGAACCTAGGGAACTACCCTAGGATATATGTTTTTTACTAAAAAAATCCATCGCCTCTTGGTGCCTTGAAAACCATGGTAGGCACTGAGGTTCACAGTTGCAAGGTGGACTGCTAAGTGTTTATGATTCAGACTAATCACATAAAATTCAAACAGAGGTATTGTTCCCATCATCAGAAGTAAAATAACAGTTCTGAATTGGTTAAGTAGTTTGACCACTGAATGAGTAAATAAAACAGAAGCTTACAGTTCGTAGCTGCTTCTTCATTCATCCCCAAAAAGAGAGCTGTGTCCCTGACACTTATTGTTGAGTAGGCAGACATTAGTAGCTGGAACATCCTCTTGGTGTAAAGTTCTGCAAAGGTATATAGAGCACTCAGAGACGAATTAATGTAGCATAAAAACAAAGATGTGTTAAATGTACCACAGCTACATAATCTGTGAAGAGAAAATGCATCTACTAAATGCGCCCTCCCAAGCTTTGAAGCAAGAAAAGAAAGTATTGTTGGAAGTATTACATGAATATAAAATGTTGCAAAAGGCAAAAGAAAGAAGTTCAGAGTTAAAACAATAATGTTCATTTGGAAGGGTAAGCACTTCTTGAAGAAACAGGTTAGTTTCATTAGCTGGTTCTGCATTTTTATTATTTACAATAAAATTAATATATATACACAATCGGAGTGGACTTTTATCGGATCAGATTGAGTTGCATCCAAGTTCGACCCAATTTTTAGTTGAATTTCATTTGGCCCATCGAAGTCTGACCAATTATATATATAGTACATCCAAGCCCGAGATTATTGGATCAGATGTTGAATCAGGTATCAGACTTTCGGAGGCCATTGGCAGCCTGATACGTAACATTTCCGTTTGTTCTCCAAGCTTTTTTGACATAAATGCAGTGCTTTAAAAGCACAAGGTGCCAAAAAAAGTGCAAGGGCCATTTTTGCACCTGGGGCATGAGGCACAAGATGAAACACACGCCTTTTTTAAGCAAGGCACAAAAAAATGCAAAAAAAAAGGTTAAAAAATTCAAAAAGAAATGTAAAATATTAAAAATAATATTAATCAAAAATATAAACTTAAATTTTAAAATAAATGCTTTAAAAAAACTATTATCTCAAATTAAAAAACATAAACATAACATGTAAAACATATTTATAATGAAAATTTAAAAATAAAATCATGCATAACATATAACACATATTCTTGACTCAATGTGTTAAAACGTGGAGGCGTGTCCACTACCTAGAGGCGTGAAGCGTAGTTAAGAACGTAAGAGGCATAAGCCTCCTTAAGAGAATAAGAGGAAGGGGATGAGGAGGAAGGAGGATCTCATTTTTCTTTACTTTTAGTAAAAATCCTTTATCTTAAGAAGAATGAAAAAGGCATATGAGGCGTACAGCATACACCTCAGAGGTATCAATGCCTATGGCATATGCCTCATGGCATCTTGGGGGCACCTCACCTAGAGGCATGCCTCTAGGCATATGCCTCCCACACCTTTTATAACACTATTCCTGATTCTATGGGCCAACTTTGTACAAAGCCCCTCGAGGCAAGCCCAAACAAGTCCATATGAAGGTCTTAAATTCTTCATCCCTATAAAAAAAGGTATTATAACTTTAAGTGACTTTTAAAAATATCTTTTATTAGGATGAATAAATGAGCAACATTAGCAAATATGGAGTTTTCAAAGCTTCAGTGAGTGAACCAAGGCAGAGAGAACCCCATATTTGCTAATGTTGGTCACTCATTCATCTTAATAAAAGATATTTCTAAAAGACACTTAAAGTAATAAGACCTTTTTTATAGGGATTAAGAATTTAAGACCTTCATATGGACTTGTTTGGGCTTGCCTCGAGGGGCTTAGTCCGCCCCCGGACCCTGCTGCTAAGCATAAAAAACAGAAAAAAGAAGCATAAGTTTTCAAAAGGCACACCAGGCACACACACCTTTTGAAAGTGCTGCGCCTGGGACCTAGGCAAGGCACTTACCCTAAAATGCGCCTCTCCTATGCACCTAGGAGTGCCTAAGTCACACCTATTAAATCACTGCATAAATGAACAGAAAATGTACAAGATATGAGTAAGTTTTCCTATAAATCATTACTTGGTGACAAAGGTAACATTTTAGACCCCTTTTCTGTAAGTATACAATGCTAGGATTCATGTAATCAACCCCATATGATAGGGATAAGGCTTAGATGTGCCTGGAAGCCCATGTTTTTCTCAACTTTCCAAGTCAGACTCTTGGACACGTAGTGGATTTCAACTCCCATGCATGGTTTTGAAAACCGGACCAGATCGGATGGTTGGACCAGTTGACCCGGAAACCGTCCAAGCAACTGATTCCGTTTCACCCTAAAACCATTCCTAGGCCAAAACTGTTGACTTGGTCAGCAACCCACTAACCCAGGCAATCAAACCGTCAACCGGTCAACCTGGACAATGGTTTTTGGCCTTTTTATTTTATTTATTTGTTTATTTTTTTATGTCTTTTAAATCAGAACGGGATGTCCGTTTGACCTGGGAACCAGTGGCCAAAACAATTCCGTGTCTGGTTCAATTTTTAAAACCTTGCTCTCATGACTTTGTGTCCATGCAAAACTTGTAATAAAAAAAAATAATAATAATTCTGACTCCTGAAAACATTGATATAAGGAGCCATAGGCACAAAAAAGAGTGAGATCTCCCCAATACCACCACCTGTTGGATTCTCTGGTAAGTCTTTGGGAACTGAACACCTGAAGGCAACACAGGTACATACCAACCTCCCCCTTTTGTATCCTCCCTTTGTCTAGAACCACCTGCCTGCGAACTCCCCCCCCCCGAAAAAAAAAAAAAAAAAAAAAAAACACTTGCCCTTTGCTGAAGATTTGGTGCGTGGAAAAATCCTTAACTACCTAGAAATTTCTCTATTTCTGCTTGGACTCCCTTTTGCAGGTTCTTGCTCAACCAGCAGCCTCTCTTCCTCACAGAAAACCTCTAAGCCTGCTGGTAAATTTTGGAGTCAAGAGTCTGAAGAAGACAGGATGAACAGTAGTAGTGGGACCAAGTCGGGTTGCTCAAATTAAACTCCAACTACATTGAGCTTGGGTTAGGGGTCATGCCCATTGAAAATTTATCAAATGCTCAACCTAACTGGACCATTTTCTTTGCTCATTTTCCTTACAGCAAGTACATAGGCCTGTCAGGGAGGCCTGCTCGGTCCCTTTGGTCTTGAGGGAGTGCCCTACCTCAATGGAGGTGATGAACATTTACCAATGACATTTCAAGATAGCCAGTGAAGGTTAGGCTAGGTCTGGAAATGAACTAACTGGAAAACTCCTGATACCTTTATTTAACATGGGACAAAATACTGAACAAAGCAAGGGGTAACAATAAATTATGGAGGAAAACTACCAACAATTGGATAAGCAACTAGCTGTTAAATGCCTGAATCCAAACACTGCCTTAAGATGAGACAAAAAAGTGACCTAGTGAGGGGAAACAAATGAAGAAAAAAATTACCAAACAGAGAACAAAGCCTGAAGAAAAAACAGCCACCAGAAGATACCTTTTTCTCTCAGATAGGGACAGATCAACCAGAGATATGATAACAAAATGGTTAGAAAAGGCCTATTGACCAATAAATAAGAGATGACAGTGGATGGACTTGGAAGAAAGAAAACACATAATAAACTTGTGTGCTTACAAAATTGGAAGAACTGAAGACAGGTACAACTATTAAGAAGAAAGATTGTAGAGTTATCAAGGGTTATATAGCCAAACCTGTTAGACAGCCCAACTCCATTCAAGAACCACTCCCCAATGTTGGGACGATGATGAGAAACTGAATGGTGGTAAGTCATAATGACCAATACAAATCTTGGTAAAAAAATAGGACATAATGACCAAGAACTCAGCAATCCCATGTGGCACTACAAATGGTCTTTTGCAGGAAAAGGCCCTATAAAACGAAAACTCTTACCTATCAAAAAGAGACTCTGCCAATGGAAAGTCTTTGAGAAAACAAAACCAAAAGTGTTCAGCTTGAGGAGGGAATCTTTCAGAGTAAGGAAAATGACAACAACAGACATCCCAATTTGGGGGAGGAAATTCAAAGATTAAACATAGATGAAATTTATTGGAGGGCAGGAAGCATTCAAGGTGGCATTTGGAACCTGGCATCTGATACCTTTGGAGTTCAATTAGATCTTATTGGGATAAGATATTATTTTTATGGCTGAACAGAACAGTCCATGTGCAAAATCTGATTAAAGTATCATGTTGGAGCTGTTGACCAGAGGAATTTTGCAGTTCCTTCTATGGATGCAACGTGGGTGGACTTACATTTAGAATTTGGAAGGAACCTGAACCCAATACAGTGTAAATTCTTTAATTGGGTACCCAACTTGCACTCTTTCTTCTGTTTAAGCATGGTGTGAGGGCTATTCTTGTAAAGTTTTAAACCATTAAGAGAGTAAAGGAAGCACTTATGTGCACCACTAAGAAATTATAACTGGTGACCCAATCACCATGAAAATTTTAGAAAAAAATAATGCCTTTAGAGGTGCAACCAAAATACCAAATGCACTGGAAGGGGATTGACACTTACCTGATTTGATTAGTTCAGATATAAGTGGCAACATATCAGATTTCCAAATGCCACCTAAAATAGCTATAAAGCCAAGAAATCCCAGTCCCACTATCACTTATAACCATAAAGGAAAGTAATCCCACTAATACCTCCACAAGTATCAGAATGAACTGTAAATAGAGCGAAAGAACAAACTGTCTGAGGAAGAGCACTTCAAAGAGAAAGAAGATTGAAAGCAAAAAGGGAATTCTTCAAGGAAGGCAGCTCAATCCCCTTATCAAGCAAGAAGATGATTGAGGGAAGACAGAGCAGCAGACCTCCTACTTGACCACAGTCAGTGACATTTAGACTGAACTAAGAGAATTGAAATGGAGAACACTGAGCTCTGCCTTATGAAAAAATCAAAAAGAGAGGAAGTGAGCATAGAAAGATGGTCAAGAACACCAGATTTGGAAATCAAACACCAAACTTACAAGCACATACATACGTAATGCTTATTACCTTCTTGCATCTAATTCCTGAATTGCTTATAAACTCTGCATGGACTGTCAGAATTTACAGGTTAAAGGAAATGTCATTAACATGTTAGAATTTTTGCCACATATTTTCAGCATGAAATAGAAAAGGGCATTCCCAAATGCTGGTCTCACCATCCAGGGTCTAAGGAAGGGTTGACTATAGATTAGATAAGTACCTAAACCTCTGGCATTTCTGCATTTTTTTGTGCAAAATGGTTACTCTCAGACCCAAACCCGCATTGGCAAATTATCACACTTCTCAAACAAGATTTTACCAAAACCTCGTATACAAATTACATAAAATATTACATATGAACAGAACAATAAGTACCATAAGGTAATTTTTTTTATCAGTATCCTAAGGTAATTTCCAACTCAATAAACCCTTCTCCCAACTATTTGGGGTTGGGTAGAAATCTAGTTAAATAACCCAAAAAGAAACCACAAAGAAGCTCGATCAAGTGAATCAGCAAGTTCTCTACATCCCACTACAGAGCCATGTCTTAGTCAGCAATCAAGTGAAGAAACTTCCCCACATCATAATAACTGGCATTTGGCATTACCTTTCTCGTCTTGTACGAAACTTAAGCGGTTTTCTCACTGTCAGCAATCATGCAAATAAAATTCAAACATATAATAACATTTTCCGCTAGAATCGTGTCTAACTCTAATCAAAATCGAGTCTTCTACAAAATTGGTGAAACTACAAAAGCTACCGGTGCTATCAGTCTAGAAAATTCTTAAACGTGCTTCTGCTGAAATCCTACCACAAGTTTGTATAAAGAGCTCAGCGTACTACGAATGGAAAATCTTTAAAATAGTACCAATTCAGTAAGGTATGCTGACCTGAGAATGAGCTCACAAGACCGCGAGCTTCTTCGCTCCAATCAAAACCACGAATAGCCTCATAAACTCCGGCATAGTCTCGCGTCCATAGCCTCTGACCTATTTTCCAAGCAGCAACGAGCTCTGGCTGGCTTTCTTTAATTGTCGAAGGTATCGATTTCCATAGAAACCGAGAACTGTTACTGCAAGATCATCCATCCACCAATATAAATCCTATAAAAAAGAAACCCAAATTGCAGGAAATTTGACCTCTTAAACCCTAAATCCCAATTAGTATACAAGAGCCGAATAACGAAAAATACGATTTCAACTTACATATCATTGACATAAATGTGCCCTAAAAGATGAATTGCGTGCGGCCATTCGTCTCGGTATGGAATGCCTTGAGCTGAAACCTGATCGATCTCCAACAGCACGGCACCATAAGAATCTCGAGAAAAATGTATAAATTAAGAGTTATCATACAGAACATGGATAGCGACTGCGATTCGGAATGAATCAGAAACCCTAAGAATCAATGTACATTGTTCTCTGATTTTTTTAACTGTAATAATGATGATTATATACTTCGAGAAACTTTTACGAGAAAAACAAATTACAAGGAATAGGAGACTTATGGGTTTGCCTGAAGCATAAGCTCGTCGCAGATATCTGCGATCTTTTCATATGACTTGGACGCCATAGCGTCCTTGAGGGAGGAAAAATCCATGGTAGAGACGGTGTTGGTTCTCTTCGCCTGTAACGACTTGTTAGAAAACCTATTCTCGCGCAAAGCTACTACTCTGGTAACAAAACTGCGGCTACTTCCACCAAGGAGGAAATACTCCTTTTCACGATAGATAACAAAACCACGCTATTCAATCTCATAAAAAACCGAAAAACAAACCGAAACCAGTAATCCGAAGTTCCGAACCGAAAAACTGGTCAACTGAACCGGTTGATTCGGTTTCGGTTAACCTATTGAAAAAGGTATATATACAGTATTGATGATGTCATATTTGTGTGAAATTCCAGGTTATTTTTCTACCTCTTCGAGATTGGTCAGCATTTTTTTCTTGAAGGCGATTGGACAGCATTTATATTATATATTATAAATATAAAAAATGAAAAACGAAACCAATCAACCAATTAATCGATTAATTCGGTTCAGTATTTTTCAACAATCGAAAGAAACTCGGTTTCAAATCGATCAATCCAGTCCGATTCAATCTGAGTTGGCTGATTTTTTTCAGCATCGATCGGTTTCGAGTTACAAAAAAATATAAACTGATGTTCAACACATGAAAACCAAAATCGAACCGACTCAAACCAACTTATATTATATATATGTATATATGATATCAGTTTTAATTCATCAAATCATTTTTAATTTCCAGGCATCTAGCCTTTGCTTTCTTAGACATGAATTTTTTACCATTCACATCGAGAGAATCACTCACAAAACCGACTCAAACCAATTCAAACTGACCATGTTGGTTTACTTAGTACTAAGTCGGTTTCGGTTTCATTTGTAGGTAAACCAACCAGCTTAGGTCGGTTGGAAAAATACTAATAAACCGACCCAACCCGACCCGTGAACAGCCCTATTTTATAGGTAGACTGGAAAGGAGAAGCCCTTCTAACATCATAGATTTATCTTAGCTTTTTAGGATAAATTACATATAGGTACCCTTTACTTTGGTGGTAATTGTATCCTCAAGTTTCAATTATAACACTTGAGTATCTTAAACTTTCAAAAATATACACTTAGGTCCATCCGTAGTATTTTGTTAGTTAAATAGTAAATAGTGCCATAAATACCCATCCTCGTGTATTTTTGATCATTTTTAGAAAACCGTAAGTCTCCTCATGATGACATCCTCACATGGACAGCAAATAACATATTCAACTTTTCTGATGATGGCATTTTCTGGTGATGATTTTACTCTGTATAATGATCTCAAAAATATATGATAAGTGTATTTTTGATATTATGTAATGTTTAACTGACATAATACTAATTGATGGGCCCAATTGTCTCTTTTTGAAAGTTCAATGTATTCAAGTGTTGCAGTTGAAAGTTCAAAGTACCTATCTGTAATTTAACCTTTTTTTATATGCTAGTTAATAAAGAAATAATGGATGATTATAATTTATAGAATAATTTAAGAAAAATTTGTAAAATATCAATTAACAATTATTTTATAGTGTTGTACTTATGTGATATAGGAAGTGAAATAGATGATTATAAATAATTAATATTTATTTTAAACTTTTAAAAAAATGGCAAGGAAACAATTTGATGTCATCCAAACTCAATAAACAACAAAATGGACAATAAAAAAGTACAATTCTTTTTAAAGATGGAAAGGAAAAGCATTCTTCGTCATAGACAAATTTTCTTTAGTTTTACAATTTTGAAGTCATCCAATTTCAATATACAACAAAATGGACAATAAAATAGTATAAAACAAAAAAAAAATGGAAAGGAAAACATTCTTCATCAATCATCATAGACAATTTTTCTTTAGTTTCACAATTTTGTTGTCATCCAAACTCATAATCTATATTATATATAAAAGTGTGAATGCAGTGTGAAACATTTTATAGACTAAAATTATCCTCTATTTTTTTTTATTTTAGAGATGGTATAAAAGTCATTTTATTATAGCTTTAATGGCTATTAAATTAAAATGGCCATAATTGTGTATTTAATCCATTTCTAATTGTAAGAGTTGAAAATGTAAATTCAATTATTACTTTCCACCTCATTTAATCCCCTCTCGTTAAGTCTTATATTCAAGGTATTAAATTCAATTTTCTCTTATTAAATTCTATATTTTTTAAGTTATTTTTCACTAAAAAATGCTACTAATTAGATCTATGTCAATATTTTTAACAATATAAACCTATATATTTTAAAACTAACTCAAAAACAAAATCATTCTTTATCCAAGTGATGACTAAGCAGTTCAACCATCTAAATCAAATTAATCAACCTATGAAGTCATGGTCAGGTAATAAAAAATTTAAAATAAATACAAATATAAAAATTACAAAAAAGTAGAAAAAATAGATGCATTTATGATATTTTTATTAATCAAATTAAAAAATAGATATAATAAACAAGAATTATTTTTATTGATAATAACAATAAAATACATAATTTAGAATTGACCAAAAATGAAATATAAAAAAGTTAATAGTAAATAGGTTAACTTTTAAGTTAAATGTGTTAACCTTTAATGTTATGAATAAATAATAAAATTTAATAAATATAAAAATACATAAAATTTGAAAAAAAAAACATTAAGGCACATGTATAATATCATGTATTTATCATAATAAACAAAAAGTAAGTGTAACGTATCAAAATTATTTTTACACACAAAAATACAAAAAATGATAGAAAAAATTGAACACATCTATAATTCTATATTTACATTAATATTAAAGATATGAATAATGTAAAAACCGACCTGGAAACAAAACCACTTTGGCTTCCAATTTTTGGATCAATGGTTCAACCATCCAATTTAAGCGGGTCAAACCAATAAGATGTAAAATATAGTGTACCGTTAGATTAGGAATGGGTTAAAGTCCTCCGTATATATACATCATTATGAGAGGAGAGTGTGAGACTTTGAGAAGGAGGTGGTTGGTTAAAATTGAGAAGTGAGAAAAAAAGAAAGAGAAGAAGAAGAAGAAGAAGAAGAAGAAGAAGAGAAGGAAGCGCCGCTCGAGGTGATTATCACCATTTTCATCGATTGTTGTACTGTTTGCCCTAAGAAGAAGAAGAAAAAAGGATAAGAAGGAATCGCCACCGATGGCTATCTCCATGTTCATCATCACTGTCGCTATAACACTGTTTGCCCTCTTCCTACATCTCTCTAAATCTCTCTCAAGTCCCAGATTGTTTCCATCACTGGTGTATCTTATATTTCTAATATAAGATCGATGTATAATCTTTCATCTCTTGCATCGATTTTTTGATTTCTTCACCAAAGTTGCAATTTTTTTGCTGTTACAACTTAAAAAAACCATAGAAAAGATAAAACTCAAAATCAAAATGGAAAAACTAAAAGCACTAAATAATTTTAGCCATTGGCATACAATAACCAAACAAAATTATGAGACATGAAAATTTTTATTTTCAATTTTTTTATTTTATAATTTCTAATTTAAAATAAATAAAAAAAAAATTGAATTTAGTTTGTAAGCAACATGAAAATCATTAATTGAGTGAACATTTTAATGGTTAAACCATATGGATCAGCATTTCTTTGACCATTTCAACAATTTTTTTTTGTAAAATAGTGGTTCAAGGCTGAAACAGAACCAATGACCTGAGTGGTTCTCAGGCCAAACGGTTTGACCATCCGATTTGGTCTATTTTTTTTAAATAGTGACTAAAATACTCATTTATTGAATTTAGTCCCTATTTAATTGTAAGGTTTACATTGTAATTTAAATTACTACTTTTCACTTAATTCAATTCCCACTATTTAAATCTTACATTTTGTTGATAAATGAACAAAAGAAAAAAAGATAACCAAAATGATAAAACACTACAAAAAGAATAATCTAGCCAAACAGGTAAGCTTGTCAATGATATTTTAAACTTCAAAATTCGATCTGATTATCACATATTTGAATGAATTGTTTATGTAATTATGTTTGGATTTTACAATCTGCATTTGATTAATAATAAAGAACAAAAAATAAAAAATACATAAAATTTATAGAAAATTTTGGATGTATTATTACTATAATTATCATGATTGTTCACATGCATTCATCTCAAAAGGGAAGAGAGGGAAGGCCTCTTTGTATCTAGCCCTTAGGTACACATTACAGGTTCAAATCCTGTATCTTTCAATTGTTTGGCATTCATCATCCAAGCTTGAATGAACAATGCGGCTTGTTGTTCGAACTTGTGATGCAAATCACTACAATGGACACAAGCTCTCACCGAAAGGATCGAAACACACAACAAAATGGACAATAAGAAAGTATACACATGAATGAGAATGCTTTCAAACTTAAACAATTTTCCCAAGTTTAACCAAACCCGTCCCATAGTCCGGATCTGGTCTCAATACAGTCCCAACAAGCCATTACAGCCATACATCGAATACTCTTGCCATGAAAGACAAGAATATCCCAATGCACAGCTGCAATGGCTTGTTGGGACATTTGTTGAGACCATGTGTTGGGTGTAGATTGTAACTGAGTTCAGATGGGTTTACCAAAAAGACACTCCACAGTCCATCCCCTCATATATGGAACATCTCCCATGCTTGTCATGGTTGTGGGGACTGAGGGCAAATATGGGATGCGCTCGATGGGGAGCCCATCCCATTTACGATCTCCCTATACAGCCAAAATAAAAGGAAAACAAAAAAAAGTAGAAAACATAAATGAGAAAACTACAATTCTAAACACCTTGCCTAAAATATATCCCAATTTGTTTTAGGCTTAGTGAGGTTTAGGTTGGCAAACTTGGGCTTTTACATTGGTATGGGTATAGGCCTAAGGTTCATGTCCAAGGTTGGGTTTGGATTGGTCCTTACCCAAAACTCAATTAACCCATCTACGCTACTTTATCAAAGAGGGTTAAGACTTAAGAGAAGTCTAAAGATAAAAGAAAGGAGGAGTTTATTAAAGAGACAACACGATACACTACGATGTTGGTTGATGGTTGATATAATATATTATGCCCTTTGAAAACATTGTCTTCGTCCATCACTAGATGGACAAGATTTTATGAATACTATCTTGACAAATCATAGACAAGATTAATTCATTGTTACACGAAATCACTTCGATGGCTTCGAATATATAT